GGGGGGTGGAAAAAGCGGGGGGGGGGGGGGGGGGTTAACACGTCTTTAATGGATCCAGTACACGTTCACTGCATGTCCTAAGCGAGACAGAAAACAGAACACGAATGGGGGCTGGTTTGGGCTATTTTATTAGCTAGAAAGTTGTCCTGGTCAGAGTCAGAGATGGAGCTGACCCCATGGGTATGCTGACATGAGGAGGCCAAAAATCCAGACTGCTTTTGGCCATTTCAAATTGCAATAGCCAATAGCAGGCTATTGGCTATTGGCTAATAGCTAATTGGCTATTGCAACCCGCCCACTGCTTGCTGTGCCCTCCTCTCAGCGTGGAGGTGAGAGCTAGGGGATCCAACCAACTAATCGATAATGAGAATAGTTGACAACTATTCTTATTGTCAATTTATTATTGATGAATCAATTAGTTGGTTGCAGCCCTACTAATTACTACTAATTACAATCACCAAAATGTTTCAAATTTATATTTTATTATATTTTCAGAAATCACTTATGCTGAAACTTTTCTAACTTTTGCTTAATTCTCAGGCCAAGGATTTGCCCACATTTAAAGATAATGATTTCCTAAATGAAGGACAGAAGTTGCATGTAGGCGAGGAGAACAAGAAGATGTTCCTTGAAAAGCTAAAAAGAGATGTTGAGGTGAGAGATGACAATTGTAACTTAGGAATGTTTTCAATGCATACGGTACTGCTGTCAAGTCCTAACACGTATGCTTAAAATACCCTATGTCCATCACTCTAGCCATTTTTACTACAGTTTAGAAAGATCAAAACACAATATTGCAATGAAATACTATGTTATGCTTCCATTTAATTGGCAGTAGATATTTTGTTGCAGTAGAAATCGTTAAAGAGATATTCTACATTACATATAGAGTTGTCATCACTAGGTCTAAAATAATGTATGCAATGAAAACTAACCGGTTTTATTTAGACATTTCAGTAGCATGTTGATAAATACCACGTCCCCCCATGTGAGGCGACTACTGGGGGATGGAGGTGGCCAGGGGAGTGGCTGCACGCGCGTCTCCTGACAGGAGAGCTGCGTAACAGCCGGAGTGTTGGAAGTAGATCCACGCCCCCCAGGTGGACAAGAACTGCTTCTCTGTGTTTCTGAGGTTAGCCGTTAGGTCTTCCATGGCATATACTTCTCGCACTTTGGACAGCCATAGAGTGATCGATGGGGGATGGGGTTGCTTCCACATTAGAGGGATAGCTGCTCTGGCTGCATCCAACAAGTGGCGTGTGAGCGAGTGCCTGTATGTGGTGAGTGGGGCCGTTGACATGTGTAGGAGACATGCCGCCGGATTGTCTGTCAGGTCTACCATGGTCAGTTCTTGGATAATGGACAGCACCTGATTCCAAAAGGGCCTCAACGCTCTGCAAGACCAAAATGTATGCAACATTGTGCCCGCAGCTGAGTTACAGCGCCAGCACCTGTCCGATATGATGGGTCTCATTTTCTGCAAGAGCCAAGGAACCCTCTACCAACGGGACAATATTTTGTAGCCGAGTTCCTGCACTTTACTGGCCATAGAGGATTTGAGTGACATGGTGAGGATGGTGTGGGTCTGTTGTTCCGTAAAGATCGTCCCTAGTTCTTCCTCCCACCGTTTTACAAAAGATGGGACCGCATCAGTAGGAGGAGTGTTTATCAAGTTATAAATGGTGGAGATGGCATGTCATGATGGTAGAGAGCCTGTACATAGCTCTTCGTATGTCGTGAGGGGTCTGTCCAGCTCCTGAGGGTGTGGGATTGCCCTAAGAAAGTGCCGAAGCTGCATGGCACTCCAGGGGTCGAGCGGGGGGTCAGTTAAGTGTTGTAGGGCTAGATTAGTCAGCCAGTCTGAGTTAGCTCGGAAGTCCCTTACTCTATATTTGTCCGCAGTGACCAGGCGTGTGTGAGTTGAGCATTTTCCGCACCTGGGGTGAAGTCAGGATCCCCTATGACAGGTGTCAGTGGCGAGGGAGCAGGGGCCAGTGGTGTGTTGCACAGTACAGTACGTGCAGAGCGAATGGTGGCGGTGATCAACTGATGTTCCAGAACTGTGGACGGTAGGCGGGAGGAAAGCCACGGGAGCCCTTCTATACGTAGCCGGTGTGTGGCCCTTTCAATTGAGATCCATATCTTACTATCGCAGTGGACGTGCCAGCCCTGATCCTGTTAAGGTGGACCGCTTTATAGTAGGAGTGGAAGTCAGGCAGTCCCACCCCTCCCCTGTCCCGTGGAAGGCTTAGAGTTTTCCTACTCAGTCTCGGATGAGATCCAGCCCATACAAAGAACATCACCGCCCCAACCTGTTAGCTATGATTTTAGAGAAAATTTTCAAGTCTACGTTCAGCAACGCAATCGGGCGGTAGTTACCACAGATCATGGGGTCACGGTCTCCCTTAGGTATAATGGTGATCCAGGCTCGTAACATGTCCCTAGGGATCGGGGAGTCCTGTAAGATGGAGTTATACGCTGTGAGGAAGTGAGTAGAGAGTTGGGAATGAAATAGCTTGTAATAAGCGCCCGTGAAGCCGTCGGGGCCTTTCCTGGTTTAGTGGCTCTAATCGCCAGCTCCAGTTCCAGTGGGGAAATAGGGGCCTCCATCACCTCCCTATCTTCGGGGGACAGTACAGGCATATCAGAGCCACCAACATAGGATCGGTCCGCGGGGGTGGGAATGGTATGAGCCTGTCCCGCCTCCGGGGGACGCAAGTTATAGAGACTTGCATAGAAGGCCCTGAATTCTTCCGCTATCTCTGCAGACGATGTCACTGTCTGTCCGGTACGTGTCACAATTTGAGAGATAAAGGTCTTACCCCGAGCACCCCTCAGGGCTCTCGCTAGCATCCTCCCGGGCTTGTTAGAAAACTCGTAGAGTCAAAAAGCATGCGCTTTTTGACTCTAGCGAACAGCAGTTCGTTTATTTCCACTCTGATCACCTGGAGCTCAGCCTGAGCTGCCAGGGCCAGTGATCGTTTATGTGTGGATTCTAGGGACTGGAGACGGCTGAACAGGTGAGCTAAGTGCTGGGCCCCCTCGCATTTCTTACAGGCCCCATGTTTCACGAGAATGCCTCTAACGACACACTTGTGGGCCTCCCAGGTGACCAAAGGTGAGGGGGAGGCGGGGACGTTGCGAAGAAAGGAGGAGGACAGTTCAGCCTCCAATTCAGTTGTGACTAGGATATCCTGTAGCAAGGATTCATTTAGACGCCACATATAGCATGGGGAAGCGGGCACTACCAGGGATAAAGACATGTGAATGGGGACATGGTCAGATAGCAGAATGCTGTCAATTGTTGCCGAGCGCACCTGAGGTAACACCTTATGTTCAACAAAAAAATAATCTAACCTGGTGTAGGTTTGGTGGACCTGCGAGAAAAAGGTATAATCTCTGTCCCGGGGGTGCATAAACCTCCAGCTGTCCATCAGGCGTAGGAAATGAAGCTCAGACTTTCATTTCTTCAAATACGAATAGGCCAGATGGGAGGTGCCCCGAGAGATATCCACCAGCGGGTCCATTGCGAAATTAAAGTCCCCCCCCCAGTACCAGAATACAGTCAGTGAATTCCAGGAGGACCTGAACCAGAGTGCGGATGAACCCCAGCTGATCTGTATTTGGGAAGTACACATTGGCTAAGGTCACTGACACACCACCAATTGTTCCCTTTAGGAGTAGAAACCTCCCATTGGGGTCTTCATACTGATCAGTATAAGCCCATGGGACGGTCTTAGCAATAAGGGTGGACACACCCTTGGTCTTTGAAACCGGAGAGGAGCAGTGGTATACCGTGGGATAGTCCCTATTGCCCAACCGGGGGATCTGATCTTTTTTAAAGTGCGTTTACTGAACGTACACAATTTGGGATCCAGCCTTCCTCAGATCCGCCAGTAGTCTGGATCGCTTTTCAGGAATGTTTAACCCCTTTGCATTCAGGTATGTGAAAACAATCGCCGTCATTATAGCAGGTGCGGGTAGGGAGAGCTGTCCAGGTAAAAAAAAGGGAACAGTTTAAAAACTGACAGAAAAGGAAAAAGAGTTTTTAAATACTAAAAAAGGGTCTAAAAAGGAAGGAAGGAAGCAGAGACAACAAGTATTCAAAAAATCAAGCACTCAATATATCCCAAACAGTTCAAATCCATTTTTTTTAATGCCACTTAGCTTCCTGGCACTTTGTTCCCAAGCCCTGTGTGAGCAAAAAGAAAGGGGTAGGGATAGAGGGAGCCAGATGGAGTGAATCAAAAGAGATTTGGAGCATAGCAAGAGAAGAGTGGAGCGAAGAGGTAGAGCAGAAGCAGGGAAGGGAAGAATAGCAGGTGTGGAAGCAAATCACCAGTTGGTGATTGCGGCCTGACCGGTCTACCGGTACGGGCAAGATCAACAAATGTATCAACCCGTTGCACAGTGCACGGGGTAGCCCTATGTAGGGGTAGGTCAAAGAACAATGTGAGTAAACAGGATGATCTGAATAACAGTGCAAACAAAACAACTTCGATAATAAAGGAGATGCATAACCCCCCTCCCATGACAGTGCGGCACGGGACACGGCCCCAGACCCAGCCCCTCGGACTGTAGTCATCTAGCGTGTGGCAGGAGCCTCTGCCCGGGCGCAACTGGGAGCCGACCGGAAGTCACAGCCCCCATCCCTTCCGAGCCGATCCGTGCCGTGTCCCATGCCCACCGTACAATTAAGGAATCACATCCCCTCCCAGGTGTCCCACAAGTGTGATATGGACCCCTTATGGTAACATCGATATATGCAGTAAAACAACATGAATCAAACAAAACTAACCACTAAATACAACAGGCCATTCTATTGTGAAACTGCACAGAAGAAAATGACGTGTAAAGTGTGAACCCGATGCCTCATCGCATGCATCCCTCGCAACGTGCAGGAGGGGTAAACAAAATACCTGAGTGTGCGTGATGCTCGTCTTATAAGCATTTAACCAGTTTTATGGGAAACTGCTTCATCAGGAGTATGCTAAGGAACTCTAAAGTAAAGCAAAGTTATTACCAACATTAAACAAAATTACGAATAAATACCCTATATGTCTTATTGTACCTAATAACTTACATAGAAGACCACTTTTGAGTATATAGCTTCAACCCAGTCTCATGCAGACCCTGGGTGCAGACTGGTAGGAGCCATAACAGGCAGCACTCCTAAGATGCCATTATAAATGATACTAAGAGTAAAAATAAACCCCTTCATAATGATGCAAGCCTTTATATGAAGCAGTATCAATTACCTGACCACATCAAGCTGGCACATCCATTGTATCCCCAAGATCATGCAGAAAACACCACAGATGATCATGAAGAGATGCCTGGGAATGACAGTACAAAATACTCAAACAGCCCAACCGAAACATCAGGATGAACTACACTACATACACAATATTCTCAGGTAGTAGGGAACATGCCCCAGTATTTATATGTATAGATTAAATCAAGTTACAAGGAAAATCTAAGACTA